TCAATGGACAAAATTGTCTATAAATGAATTTTGGGGATTTTGTGTGTTTGTCGAGAAAATTGGAGATGAAAAGAGGAATATACTATAATACAGTATAATATAAAGTATTTGTTATAATTTCTTTCAATGGACAAAATTGTCTATAACTGAATTTTGAGGATTTTGTGTGCTTGTCGGGAAAATTGGAGATGAAAAGAGGAATATACTATAATACAGTATAATATAAAGTATTTGTTATGGTTTCTATCAATGGACAAAATTGTCTATAAATGAATTTTGGGGATTTTGTGTGCTTGTCGGGAAAATTGGAGATGGAAAGAGGAATATACTATAATACAGTATAATATAAAGTATTTGTTATAATTTCTTTCAATGAACAAAATTGTCTATAAATGAATTTTGGGGATTTTGTGCGTTTGTCGGGAAAATTGGAGATGAAAAAGAGGAACATAATATGATGCAATATGCAGAGGTTGTTATGGTCCTTTTCTAATAGATGAAATTATATATTTCGTTGACTGTAAGTGCAAGAATCTAAATTATACAAAAATTCGTAGTCCAGTTGTCAGCTGTATTCTTTTATCTTTGTATGAGGAAAATTTTTTCTAAAGAATAATGTATTATATAAATATTTTAATATTCAAATATTAAAGTAAATTTTAAATTAAAAAAGTGACATGACAGTGCTTGAAATATAATTACGACACAATTTTTTAGATTGGAATATCGAAATATTAGGAAATTGAAATATTGGGGGTACCAAATCAAAGTATTTCAGAAACAATCAGGATATCTCGATATTTTAATATCCTAGTATTGCAATCTTCCCTGAAATACTCTGATCTCAATATCCTAATAGTTATATTATATTCCAGTGTATCAATTTTTTTTAATATCATAACATTCTAATCCAAGAAAAAGTGCCAAATTATACTACCACATTGACAATATTACCAATATTTTTAGCATTTGTTGCGTTATTGATTCTTTGAATTCAATTTATTCGATTTCAATCGAATTCAATTTCAGAATGAAATATACTTTCTGTATTCTTCTCTAGTCTTTCGATCACTTAAGAAATATCGATTACTATAATATAAAGTATATTAGTCGTACAGAATGTCGTGAATGTGCTCAGTATTTTTGAAAGATCCATATCTGTCGATCTAACAAGTTATACTTTTTCAATATGTCACATTTGAGTTATAACATAGATATTTCTAATCAAAATCTATCTAAACAGCACGAGAATCGGACTTGTCTTGTTTTCCAAACACTTTTGAAGATCTTATAATGCTTTTATGGGATAGGATTAAATAATTTGGATTAACAGATACAATGATCTAACAGAGGTAAGGCTCTTTTGAAATTTCATTAGTACTATAATAGTACTGTATTGAAATTTCAATGGTACTATTATAACGAAACACAATTATTATATATTGATAAAATTTGGAATCATTTAATATTCAAAATTGTAATTATGCAACGATCATAAATTTTACGAATTACATCCTTCGATTATCCTTAACTGTAACTTGTCAATTTACAAATATTGATTAGAAAATTATTGTATAAAAGTTGTGAATAAAATCTCAATATGTAAAAAAGATTCTATAAACGTTGGAATATTTTCGTCAGCAACTGTAGATTAAACAATTTCGTAAAACAATTTCGAAAAATCGATTGACACGAATGTTGATTGTAAATTATGATTAAGGTTCTATGATTGAGAATCACGATTAGGCCAGATTGTGGCCGATTTATTGACTCCGATTAGATATTATTGTTGCCAAAACAAGTCGTTTATTGAACAATCAATTACGTTTAAATGCGTAGATCAATTACAACTTTTAAATAACACAGTCCATGTATGAAAATCCATAATTTTAACGTCACCTTTAATTTCGTTGCAATTTCATCGTAACTTCAATTTTAATTTCATATTCAAGCTTAATTTTATCGTGATCTCGATTTTAATTTTACCCTCAACTTTCTACTTTATTCATTTTATTTATTCCCATCTCAATTTAATTTTCGATTCAATTTTAATCTCATTCTAATTATAATTTCACAACTTTGATTTAGTTTATATTAATTTTTGAAATCAAGCATATATAATAAATAAAATAATGAAATTTACTTTTTTAATATATTTATGTTTAATTCTATTAATGATAATTGATAATTTTATAAATAAAATGAATTACTTATGAATTTTCAATAACTTTATTAGACTTTTAAATATTATAAAAAGATTCAACAAGAATAATTAGAATTTCATTTTACTCATAATTGGAATTTCAACTTACACTTTTAATTTCAATTTAACTTCCAAAACTTTAGTTTTAATTTAATTCACATTAATTTTAATTCCAGAAATTGCCCTCTTTATACATCTTCGTAGGCGACTCTGTATTATTTTTTATATATTTATATATTTTATATTATTCACATTAATTTTAATTTATATATTTATATATTTTTATATTTTATATTATTTACATTAATTTTAATTTATATATTTATATATTTTATTTTTTTATATATTTTTATATTTTATATTATTTACATTAATTTTAATTTATATATTTATATATTTTATATTATTTACATTAATTTTAATTTATATATTTATATATTTTATATTGTTTACATTAATTTTAATTTATATATTTATATATTTTATATTGTTTACATTAATTTTAATTCCAAAAAAAGTTGCCTTCTTTATACATCTTCGTAGGCGGCTCTGTATTATTTTTTATTTTTTTATACATTTTATATATTTACTTGTAATTCTCATATTTTCCAAATATAGATATTACGCTAAAGTATCATAAACTATGCTCTCATGACAATCAATATTTCCTACTGAGAGTATTATTCTCTTTCAAGAACAACGTTACCAGTCCCAGGCCACTCGGAAGTGAACCTATGCTCGGTGTTAACGCTGGGTAAAGATCTAAGCAAAATCACTATGCCGGTCATATTCAACGAACCGCTCTCCTTCCTCCAGCGTGTCGCCGAGTACATGGAATATGCCAAGCTACTTAAGCAAGCGGCCCAAGAAGAAACACCGATCGGAAGGTTACAGGTAAATTCAGCATATACTTTCGATTATTCGGTGTACGAAAATTCACGTAACTCGAAACCATTAGACACGTTTAGTACATACTGTACATTTTCGATCGACTTCGAACTCTAATTTCACTTTCCATCGCACATTTTCCTGCAGTAAGTATATGAAGAAGATTTTCTTGAAGATAAGAACGCTGCGCCTATCATTTTTAAACGTAGCTAGTTGAAATTTCAAATGAAAATGATATGAATTTAAATTCAAACGAAAATAATTAGTCGAATTATTCCCAAAGATTTTATTCTAAGAGGGAGAAGAATATGTTTACTCATGCGTGATGTAAATAACTTTCTTGGTTACGAGGCAGAGGCTTTCGTCGAATTGTCACCAAAAATGAAAGAGCCAACGACTATTGTACCAATGTGTGACTTTAAACCTGCAATTGTTCGTCGGGCAAATTGCTTGATGTAAATTGCTATGGTAAAAATTCTACGGATGCACTAAATTTAATAAAAATTGGCACTAAATTAACTGTAATGAAAATTGAAACTAAATTAATTTTAATTCTTAATAGACATCGAAACCAAGTTATATAAATTTGCAAAAAAATTGTTAAATAACCAAATTATTGGGGTATCAAATCAAAGTTAAATAACCAAATTATTACTATTATATTACAAGTTATATAAATTTGCAAAAGAATTGTTAAATAACCAAATTATATACAAATATGATATAAATTATATTATATTATATAAAAATAATTATATATATAATTATATTATATTATATATAATTAACCAAATTATTGGGGTATCAAATAAAAGTTAAATAACCAAATTATTACTATTATATTACAAGTTATATAAATTTGCAAAAGAATTGTTAAATAACCAAATTATATACAAATATGATATAAATTATATTATATTTTATATAAATAATTATATATATAATTATATTATATTATATATAATTAACCAAATTAATTGGGGTATCAAATCAAAGTTAAAGAACCAAATTATTACTATTATATTACAAGTTGTATAAATTTGCAAAAAAATTGTTAAATAACCAAATTATATACAAATATGTTATAAATTATATTATATTTTATATAAATAATTATATATATAATTATATTATAT